GACGTTACAGAGTAAAGATCACATCCTCTGTGATTTATAGGGTTTAGATTAAATATATGATTTATCCTCGTGCTAAGTACACACGTACTCTCTCAGTTAAGCGTCACCACCCATCCTGGGAAGTTCAAATATTATCTGCATTTTCCACACAGGGAAACTGAGGCTCAGAGAGGTGCCATTTCTCAAGACCACACAGCTAGGAAGTGGCAAAGCCACCCTCCGTGCTTGCTGTTCCAAGAGGGGGTATGTGATGGGGCTGATGGGAAAGAGACTCATTAATTGAGGAGAGCTGCTCTGCCATGGGGGGGTGACAGGAGGGCAGGGGGAGGGTAGGGGGAGGCAGGGTGTTGTATCGGGTGGATTTCCTCAGCACTAAACGTGGCGGTGCAGGATGGCGGGGTAGGCCCACTGAGCCCAGCTGGGTCGGCACACCTTGTCCTCTTCAAGCCCTAAAACTGCCTAGCAGCACCTTGGCCGCCCCAGCTCACTCCAGCCTGGAAAGTGGTGGTTCTCAGACTTGCCCGTGGTGCATCGGAAATCCCTGCAGGGCCTGTTCAAACCCAGGTTGCTGGGCAGGTCTTGGGGGAGGCTGAGATACGCATTTCTAACGACCCCTGGGGAGGCTGCGGCCGCTGGTGTATGGGATACACCTTGGGGACCACTGAGCTAAGAGGACGGCTGAGGCCAGAGGGACGACGCTCTGCCTGGGGCTTGCCGTAAACGTAGGAAATGAGCAGCTGAGAAGTGTGTGTGGGCTGCAGGACAAGAAAGTCCCAGCTTTGGACATGGCTGAAGCCCAACAGCCCTCCCAGCTGCAGGACAGGAATCCTGCCTGCTTTGGGTGGATTAACATAGAAGAGTGCAAAGGTTAGGTTGATAATAACAGCCCAATGGCTCATGCCTGTAATCCCAGCACTTTGGGAGGTCGGAGCAGGAGGATCGCTTGAGGCCAGGGGTTTGAGACCAGCCTGGGCAATATAGTGAAACCCCTCTCTACAAA